GCCCGCCACACGTGTGCGGGGGGCGGCGCGCGGGGCGCGCGGGCGGCTGCAGCAGGTGAGAGCCGCGCCCGGGCGCCCTCACCTCCGCGCCTGCCGGCTCGCTGCTCCTGCCCGCAGCTGCACGGATGCGGGGACAGGGCTTGCCTCCTTCCTTTGCTTTCATTGAAGCCAGAGTTGGCCAGAGCCGCCTCAGTGCCTCCCTTGGGGCTTTGATGGAGCCTTGTCAGAGCGGGCACCCGCCCCCAATGATCTAGGCGTAGCTCTGCTGTCCTGTGGGGGCTTTGCTGGTGGCTACCTGGGGCCAGGAGGGAATTTTTTCCCCTCCTGCTGTTACTTGTCAGGGGTTTTTAGGCCTTCTCTTGCAGCCCTGGCTGGGGCTGGGCTGTGCCAGTGCTCCTGCTGGCACCGACCCCGCAGGGTCCTGGCTGGAGGGTCTTGCCCCTGCGCTCATGGTCAGATCAGTGACCATCTCTGGGGTCAGGAAGGAATTTTACCCCGTGGTCAGATTGGCGTGGACTCTGGGGGGTTTGCTGTCCTCTGTAGCTGGGGGCATGACCTCTTCTTGGGATCTTTCAAGCATATTTTGACACTCCCTGCAGTAGCAGGACACTTGGCCACCGTGTCCCCACTGCTTTCCCTGTGGCAGGGCCGGGGTCAGCGTGAGTGATGCCTGGGGCCGTGTCGTGTGGCTCTGAGGTTGGACACGGGGTTTGTCTGGGCTGGTTTGGACGGGGTTGCCCCTGCCTCAGGCAGAGGTTGGACTAGACGTGACCCTCGCAGGTCCCACCTCTCTGTGACTCCACAATTATTTTTGTTTTTATCTCTGTGATGCTGTTTCTGAGAAACCCAGCTTCCACTCCGTTGCTCCTGCTCAGGAGGATGTGAGGCACATGGTGGTGGGGGATACAGCTTGCCAGTTTATACCTACAGCATTCAGATAACTCAAGTTCTGTCCTTCCTTCAGCCTTGGACTGCGCACTGCCTTAGTTTCCCCAATGCCTGGCTGAGAGAAAATACAGATGAGAACAAGCGGGGTGAATCTTGCATCAGATGAGGCTGAGTGATCTGGGACTTCCTGGCATGCCCATCACAGGTGTACGGGGTGAGGCTGGCAGTAGAAATGGCTGGGTGGGGTCTGCTCCTCAGTGGTCTCTTTCTTATCAGGCCGGTAGTTTAGAAGAATTGGTGGAGATACGCCCTTGGGACAGCCTTTGCCTGTTACAGAGGCTGCGAGTGCTGTTCATGCCTGGCTTTGGTTGTAGTGGAGCAGTGAGCTGTCTCTGGAGCTACCCTTTCATCCCATTTGGAAATTACGGCTGGTGCAGACCGGGGCTCCCTGCTCAGGGGCATGAACTGCAGGGAGCATATTGCTCCCATCCTCTCAAGGCAGCCGGGGCTTCCTGGTTCATTCCAGGTGCACTTCAAAGCAGCAGCTATGATCTTTAAAACACTGCGTCCTTCAAGTTTTGGTGCGAAAGTGCCTGCCTCCCCGCAGCATGCGGTTGAGGTTAGCAGAGGAGCTGCTGGTAACGGTGCTTGGCATGAACAGAGGAGTGTTGTCAGCGGGGGCCCTCACCTGTGTAGTGTGCCTTGTCTGCCAGTGTCTCCTCAGGGCTCGGAGACCTGGCTCATCTCCTTTCTCCGACTTTTCTTCCTATGGGGGAAGGGGGTCATTTTATTAAATGACATGGTCTTTCAGTGACTTTAGGAGACCAATGCAGCTCTTGGCATCTGAAGCACATCACTGCATCTCAGCTGGGCCCTGGGGAGACGGGGTCATTTTGAGAATCACAGAAAATGAGGGTTGAAGGGACCTCAGGAGGTCACATCTAGTCCAACCCCCTGCTCAGTGCAGGACCAGCCCCAGCTACAGCATCCCAGACAAGGCTTTGTCTGCCCAGGTCTTAAATACCTCCAAGGATAGAGAGTCCACAGCCTCTCTCAGTCACCTGTTGCAGTCCCTTACTACCCTTCTGGTGGGAGGTTTTTTCCCTAATATCCACCCTCAACTTCCCTTGCTGCAACTTGTGCCCATTGCTCCTTGTCCTGTCATCTAAGACCAGCCCAGCCCCATCCTCTTTGCAGCCCCCCGGCAGGGAGGTGAAGGCTGCTGTTCAATCCCCCTCGGTCTTCTCTTCTGCAGACTAAACAAGCCCACTTCCCTCAGCCTCTCCTCACCAGTCCTGTCCCCCAGCCCACAACCATTGTTGTTGCCATCCACTGGACTCTCTCCAACGTGTCCCCATCCTTTCCATAGGAAAGGACTCCAGATGTGGCCCCCCCCAGTGCTGAATAGAGGACAATAATCAATCACTGCCCTTCATCTGCTGGCCCCGCTCCTACCGATGCAGCCCAGGATGCCGGTCGCCTTCCTGGCACCAAGGACACACTGCTGGCTCCTGTTCAGCTTCTTGTCCCCTGTCCCCCCAGGTCCTTTTCTGCAGAGCTGCTGCCCAGCCCGTCACCCCCAGCCTGCACCGGTGCAGGGGATCGCTCCCTCCTCAGTGCAGCACTTTGCACTTGTCCTTGCTGAACCTCATGAGATTTCTTTTGGCCCAATCCTCCAGTGTGTCTCAGTCACTCTGAATCCTAGCCCTGCCCTCCAGCGTATCTACTACATCCCCCAGCTTGGTGTCTTCTGCAGACTTGCTGATAATGAACTCATCCCATTGTCCAGGTCGTTGATGAAGACATTGAACAAAACCAACCCCAGGGCTGACCCCAGGGCACTGCACTTGATGCCAGCTAGACATCAAGCCATTGCTTACTACCCTCTGAGCCCATACAGTCCATTCATCCAACCTGTACTTCCTTAGCTTGTTTGCGAGAATGTGGGAGATGGTATCAAAAGCCTTGCTAAAGTCAAGGGATATCATGTCCACTGGTTTCCCCACATCCACAGAGCCAATCATCTTGTCATAGAAGACAATCAGGTTGGTCAGGCATGACTTGCCCCTGGTGAGTCCATGCTGACTGCTCCGAATCACCGTAGAATCACAGACAAGGAGGGTGGCAGGGAGCTTGGGAGGTCACATCCAGTCCGGGCCCCTGCTCCAAGCAGGACCAGCCCCAACTACATCATCCCAGCCAAGGCTTTGTCTACTTGGGTCTTAAACACCTCCAAGGATGGAGAGTCCACCACCTCTCTGGGTAACCTGTGCCAGTGCTTTACTGCCCTCATCGTGAGACAGTTTATCTGAATATCCAACCAATATCCACTCAGCATCCAAACAATATCCAGTCAAGGATGGCGGCTCCACCACTCCTCTAGGTAACCCATTCCAGTGCTGCTCCACCCTCCTAGTGGGAGCATTTTTTCTAATATCCAACCTAAACCTCCCTTGCTTCAACTTGAGACCCTCTCCTCCAGGTGTTCAGAAATGGATTCCCTGAGGACCTGCTCCATGATTTTTTCCAAGGACTGAGGTGAGGCTGTAGTTCCCTGGATCCTCCTCCTTCCCTTTCTTACAGACAGGAACTATTTGCTCTTTTCCAATGGTCCAAGACTTCTCCCACCCACCATGAGTTTTCAAAGACGATGGCCAGCGGCTCTGCAGTCTCATCAGTCAACTCCCTCAGCACCCTTGTGTGCTTCCCGTCTGGCCCCATGGACTTGCGCACGTCCAGCTTTTCCAAGCAGTCCCTAACCTGATCTCTCACCGCTGCGGGCTGCTCCCCTCCTCCCCATGCTGCTGCCTGGCGCGGTCGGCTGGGAGCTGCCCTGGCCTGTGAAGACCAAGGTGAAAAAGGCCTTGAGTGCTTCAGCCTTTTCTGCCTCCTCTGTCACTAGGTTGCCTCTTCCCCAGTCAGGAGAGGACCCGCACTGCCCCATCCTCCTCTTGTTGCTGACATACCTGTAGAAACCCTCCTCTTTACCCTTCTCATGAGAAGGTGTTGATCAGTTTGGGGGTGTAGGCTGAAGCCAGGTGGCGATCAGGAGGGGAGGTGCTAAGTTTTTTACT